GCAGGACCACCTTGGGGAACCTCTACTGGGGCAGTGCCTAGCAGGGCCATAGGGTAGGGCTAGTCCTTGAGGCCTCAGAATGATGGATCTGCCACATGGGAGAGCCCATGCAGAATGGTAGAACTCCCATCTGGGAGAGCTACATGCGGGAGACTCTAACCTGTGTGAACTGTAGCATGTGCTGCCTATAGGAAATGCATGGGTGCAGGACCACTGTGTCCAGAACATAGGTCCCAAGTCAAAGAATATTATTCTCAAGCCTTAAAATTTGGCATTTGGAGGCCCAGTGCAGTGGCTCATGCCTCTGTAATCCCAGCACTCTGGGAGGCTGAGGTGGGTAGATTGCTCGAGCCCAAGAGTTTGAGGTTGCTATGAGTTATGACACTCTACCCAGGACAACAGAATTGAGACTCTGTATCAAAAAAAAGAAAGAAAGAAAAGAAAAAGGGAAAAAAAAGTTTTGTTAGAGAAAGTTAGAGAATTCTTAGATAAAATCTCACTTATCTGTTTGTTACAGTCTTCTTTTTCTACTTGCCCTTTGAATTTTACATTACACTAAGCCAAATCTTAGTGATAGAAATGTCAAAAGGCTCCATGAAAAAGTTTTTTTGTTTTCTGTTAGCCGTTCCAAGTGTGGAAACTAGGTGAGCAGTAATTGTTTTAGGTTGGGATACTTACCCTTTTCTTACAGGTTATCTTATAGTTATATAGGGTATTTTTATAGGTTTTCATATATATAAATAGATACATATCTTATGATTGTATATATATATAGTTAACCCTTGAGCAATGCAGGATTAAGGGCACCAAGCCTCCATGCAGTTGGACATTCATTTCTAACTTTTGACTCCTCCGACCCTTAACCAATAAGCTACTGTTGACCAGAGCCTTATCAGTAAATATGTTTTGTATGTTACTTGCATTATATTACTATAGTCTTACATGAAGTAAGAGAAAAGAAAATGTTATTAAGAAAATCATAGGTCCCAGCCCAGGCCCACCAAACAACAACGACGGCTGCAGCCAAAAGATAGCCAGGTGTCCTGGCAGGCACCTGTAGTCCCAGCTACTTGAGAGGGGGAGGCAGGAGACTTGCTTGAGCCCAGGAGTTGGAGGTTGCTGTGAGCTGTGATGCCACAGCACTCTACCCAGGGCAACAGCTTGAGGCTCTGTTTCAAAAAAAAAAAAAAAAAAAAACATAAAGACTGGACAGCGCCTGTGGCTCAGTGGGTAGGTTGCCGGCCCCATACACTGAGGGTGGCAGGTTCAAGCCCAGCCCTGGCTCACCTGCAACAAAAAAATAGCTGGGCGTTGTGGTGGGCGCCTGTAGTTCCAGCTACTTGGGAGGCTGAGGCAAGGGGATCATCTGAGCCCAGGAATTGGAGGTTGCTGTGAGCTGTGATGCCACGGCACTCTACTGAGTCTACTGAGGGTGATGAAGTGAGACTCTGTCTCTAAAAAAAAGAAAAGAAAATCATAAGGAAGAGAATATATAAAACCAGCACATTGTACCCTATAATTGCCCTAATGTACACAGCTATGATTTAATTAAAAAAAAAGAGGAGAGAATATATTTACTATTCATTAAGCAGAAGTGGATCATTATAAATGTCTTCATCTTTATTATTTGTACATTGAAGTAGGCTGAAAAGGAGAAGGAAGAAGAGAGGTTGGTTTTACTATCTTGGCTGGCAGTGGCAGAAGAACATCCATGGACCTGCAAAGTTCAAACTCTTGTTGTTCAAGGATCAGCTCTTTAAGATAATCTCATGGCTACCTTATTTTTGAAGATTAAAAATTGCATGCTTCTTACAGTGAAAACCAATGCTTTGTCAAATAATGGAATCCTTTAATATGACACTTCATAATTATGTAGATATTTTTGCCTTCGGAATACGTATGCTCTCTTGGTTTTTCTAACTGTAGATGGCAGCCGTACTTAAAATGTGTTGGCTGAGGACAGCCATAGTTTATACTTCATAGTTTATACTTCATAGTTTATACTCAGTTGTGCTCTGATTTTCACAGCCTAATCTATTGTCAAAGAAACCATGATAACATTTAAATTAAGGATCCCTGGACTTTGGGTGAAAGGGGCATCTGAAATTAAAAATTTTTCTTATCAACTGAATATTAGAAGTATGTTTTTGACCTCTGAATTTTAATTTGGAATTTCAAAACTAAGGTTCAGGGTTATAAAGCATGTCTCACTCATCATCCATGTAAACTAATTTTCCTTTCTTTATTAATTATTATTGACTTTCTTTGGTTTTGTTTCTTCAGGCTCACTATCATCCTAATCTAGGAACTCACTACATCCCATACATTCTTCAAATTTGTCTTTTAAGTTTATCATCTGATTTGTTCATTTGGGGAATGTTTATTAAGGAATTACAATGTATCATGATGGCTAAGAGGATAGCACTCTGGGAGACCGAGGCAGGTGGATTGCCAGAGCTCACGGGTTTGAGAGCAGCCTGAGCCTGAGTGAGACCCCGTCTCTTAAAATAGTCGGGCATTGTGGTGGGTGCCTATAGTCCCAGCTAATTGGGAAGCTGAAGCAAGAGAATTGCTTGAGACCAAGAGTTTGAGGTTGCTGTGAGCTGTGATGCTACAGCACTCTACGGAGGGCAACAAAGGGAGACACTGTCTCAAAAAAAAAAAAAAGAAGAAGAAAATGTAAACTAGAACGTAACAATTTATTTCTAAAATCATTCTCAGTAAAGATAACCATTTTTTTCCTCTGTGTCCTGTTTTTTTTCTTCTTTTTTTCTTTTTTTTTCTATAAAGCACTTTAAATCAGATAAAACTGAGTATGTATTCTGCTAATAACGTATAGAAAAAGAACTGCTTAGTAGTGACACTGCACAAGTAATACAATCTGTTTCAAGGTAAGTTGGAATGTTTAGAATACCTTTGTAGGCCATTAGGAATAGAACAGAACAGAGACTTACCAAATACTCAAATTTTCCTTCTTAAGGTATCAGAACCCAAGGTCAGTGTAATAGAGAACAGTTGAATATGTGATAGAGTGATTGGTGGGAACTGTGTTCTTTATATTATAAAGTATTTTATTACTGGATTTTAAATAAGGCTTTTCAACATAAGTTGAACAAAAGTACTACTTTCCCCCATCATTTTAAAAGTTGATTTTTTTGTCCCAGTTAGTAATCCTATGTGTCACCTAGCACTGTTCTAGTCCCTGTAGAGGATGTAGGTGAGCATGGTACTCTCTCTGTCCTTAAAGATCCTTCACTGAAAGGAAGTGAAGTGGGAGGTACACACGTATTCAGAATGCAAGGCAGAATTTGATGAGAGGTACAAATACATTGTCTAGTTTTGTGTTTTCTCATAATTAAGGCTCCTGAATGCCTTAATTAATAATAATACCCTTGGCATATTGTAGCTAATCAGAACTCTTCAGACATCTGTCAGTAGGATTGTCTTTTCTTTCTTTCTTTGTTTTTTAACTATAGAATAGCCAGACGTGTTAAAACTATTTCCTAAGTGTTTGTAGGTACTAACATCTCCCTAGCCCTAAGCTGGCATGATGTCAACCATAAGCAGAAACTAACTTAGGTTCTTAAATACTTAGTAAATGAATAAGTATTGGCTAGACTTTAATAACTAAGTCTGAACTGTTTTCATAGTTCAGAGGCTAATTGTTTGACCTTTCCTTCAAATGCAAATGAGGAGCCCGGAATGTTTGTAATCTTTCTCTTTGGTTCTATTGGGAGCAAGCTAGCAACTAACTTAATGACTCAACTTAGAACCTAGGTACAGAAACAGGGAGACACCTGACTAGGGAGACAAAAATTTCATTTGACTAGGGAGACAATTAATTAGCATTTTGTCTTATATAGGACAGTAAAAATAGAATTATTTCTTTTGTTTTAGGACTTGTTTAACAATTATATGTATTCCACATAGATGTTTTTATCTCTTAATTGGGTCTAAGAACCATACTAATATGAAAATGTTCAAAACTTTATAAAAAAGAACAACTGTGTATCTGGGAATTGCTTCAATAATTATCCAAGTAGAGCCAATTTTATTAATATCCCCATTCACTGGAATATCCCCTTAATTTTTTTAATGAAAATACTTTTTTTTAACTTATTTAATCTGTGCAGAAAATACTTTTAAAGCTATTACTAGACTGCTTTTTTTTTTTGTATTACTATAAACATCTTTGGAGGAAGAAAACTGTCATTTTCACTGAGGAAAATTATAAGACCTGGAAAGCAATTTGGTGACACATATAAAGGAACCTTTTAAAAAATTCCATTAATTCACTTTCTGACATCTAGCCTTAGGAAACAGAAATCAAGGCCAACATCATAATACAAAATTGCTTATCCCATCATTTATAATCATAAATCATTCATAATCAAATAATGAATATCCATATATATCTAATAATATGCAATAATAAATCCACATGGTAGAATGTTTTATGCTTTTTATAGTGTCTTTTAAAAATATTTAATAACATAAGAAATGCTCTTTTAAAAAGAGTAAGACTGCATATGTGTAATAGTCCAAGTTGTATAGTGTGTTTACATATATTCTATAGTAAACTATGAAGATCTGGTTCTAATAAATCAAGCTCTGCTTCAATTCTTTCTTAATTGAAAAAATCTTTTCATTTTTCTGATTTTTAAAACATTGTCAGTTGCGAACTGAATCCTTCCAAGTTGCTATTCGCTTACTGAAACCTGTTTGTGACCTCCTGACTCTGCTTAGGATACTTGTGCTTTAAGATCTTAGGATGTACGAAAATCACAGATCTTAAGTTTTAGAGGATTGACTTTACTTTTCCCTTGTTGTATATATGGCAGCAGTCAACGTTTTCTGCCTGTGGGCTTTTCTTAATAATTAGGAATATGATTTTCTTTGTTCCTAATTTTACAGATTATAAGCACACCACAGAGACTAACCAGTTCAGGAAGCGTTCTGATTGGGAGTCCATACACCCCCGCACCGGCAATGGTTACTCAGACACACATCACGGAAGCTGCTGGCTGGGTCCCTGGGTAAGACTGTTGCAAGTTATAATTTTAAAAACTTAAAGAAAAACAAACAAGCAAGTTCTGACCTTTTCTTCTCACTGTCTTGTATTCTGTTCTTGTTTTATTTTAGCCTAGTTCTTAAAAACAAATGATTTTCCTATAAAATCATGGTACATTTTACTTTACATCTTAGAGAGCTAAATTATCTATGGAACATCCATTTTTAAACAGGGAAAAATAGTGCAATAACTTATAATTGAATCATCTGACTTTTTTCCTCTCTGAAATAGGATTACTTTTTATAATGACAATATTTAGCTGCTTTGAAGGTATAAAAACTATTATTTTATATCGTTTTAACACATATGAGTAAAGAGTTCTATATTAAGTCTTGGCTATACTCAGAATTTCCCCTATGAATTCTCATTTCCTTGAAAACCAAAAAAGGAACTAGGAAAAAGCAACCAAATATATTAAATTTTTATTTAATTTTCTCTTGATTCTTCTTAAATATTGAGCAATTAAATTGATATCAATTCTGTGTTACTGATTTGCCACTTTTGGTATCAAACCTTCATGTATTTCCTCTTTACCTATAAAATACCCTTACTTAACTTTTCTTTTCTTTTCTTTTTTTGAAACAGTCTCAAGCTGTTGCCCTGGGTAGAGTGCTATGGCATCATAGCTCACAGCAACCTCCAACTCCTGGGCTCAAGCGAGTCTCCTGCCTCTGCCTCCCAAGTAGCTGGGACCACAGGCACCTACTACAACGCCTGGCCATTTTTTGGTTGCAGCCATCATTGTTGTTTGGCGGGCCCAGGCTTGATTTGAACCTGCCACCTTAGGTGTATATGGCTGGCGCCTTAGCTACTTGAGCCACAGACGCCAAGCCTTAACTTTTCTTTACTCCTTTTCATTTTAGCACTTCATCTTTCCATGAAATACAAAGAAATACTGAGATAAATGACTCAAAACCTCATTTTGTCATTTTAGAAGTTTTGTTACTTTTAGAAGTTATGTACCTGGTGGCATACTATGCTGGTGATTCTATCATATATGAGTTTAGCAGGCAGATAGTAACTCTTAGTGGCTAAGAATCTGCTTGTTTCAAGGATACTAAGTAAATTAATGAAATATTGACCCTGACAAAGTATCTAATCCGTATACATGTTAACGTACATGCATGCATACATCTACACATTAAAGACGGAAGAGTTGTATATGCATATTTTTCCATTTTCAAATGACATGAAATGACAGAATTACCTGTATTTTTATGACCTTTATTCAGTCCTCATGAAAATGCTCGTGTAGATCTAAAAGCTACCTTGGGTTTCTGCATGGTCTTAGAAGATGGTAACACGAAAGCCTAGCACGTGCCACTAGAATTGGCAGACTTTGCAGATGACCAGGGATTGGGTGTTTTTAGCCCTAACTGTGCTTTATATTGGGGAGAGCAAGAGTGTGTAGTGTTTTCATAGTCAGTCATTACAAAGTGAATAAGTACTTCTATTCTCTTGTTTATAAATCTGCAATATTTTTCTCCCTAAATATTCATTGAGTTCATTTCAGTTTTGGTTATTATGTTAGAATGTCTTGGTCCCATGATAAAATTAAGTTTTTATTTACATACATATCTTTTATATTTGTTAGTTTTTATCTTTAGATATATTCAGTGTAAAATTAGACGAGTTATAATACACTACTCATAAAATAAAGTTGTGTTTATGTGTTGTTTTATGCTTTTTTTTCTTTTTAGTGATAGGAAACGGGCTAGAGAATTTATAGACTCTGATTTTTCAGAAAGGTGAGTATAAATATTTTGTTTGGAAGATTTTGCTATATAGCAAGGAGGTTGGTGCCCATAGTCTTCTCTATTTTAAGTAATGAGATATTTTTCTTCACATAACTTTTAACTTCATTCAGTTTTTGCCATTATTCTGCAACGAGTCTTCCAGTTCACTTAGAGAATTTATGTGGTTTCAGTAGAAATTATTCTATGAGCAGATTGGTTATAGTTAGTTTATCATTTAGAACCCTCCCTCCTTTTGGGAGATTCTACTAAAATGAATACTCCACATTATTATTATTATTATTATTATTATTGAGTCTCACTTTGTCACCCTCGGTAGAGTTCTGTGGCATCACAGCTCACAGCAACCTCAAACTCTTGGGCTCAAGTGATTCTCTTGTCTCAGACTCCCTAGTAGCTGGGACTATAGGCACCCACTACAATGCCCGGCTTTTTTGTTTGTTTATTTAGCAGGCCCAGCCTGGGTTCGAACCTAGCAGCCCTGGAGCATATGCCCAAACTTTTAAACAAGTTTTATTGATCATGGTAAACTCTCACTTGTTTTCTTAAACATTATATTGTGTATGATACCACCTTTCCTTACAGTATAGGGAAGTGGTTCTTCATTCTGGATGTGCATCAGAATCACTTGTCGTCTGTTAAATGAAATATAAATGCCTACTAGGTCAAACTCCAGGTTTCAGAGCTATCGACTTGGGCGATTTTACATACGTTTGCACCACTGCGCCAGGCATTTAATACTGTATTCTGTTAACACAAGAATCATAATCTTAGCAGTAATTGAACTCTGTGAGGTTGTCACTACAGTGACATGGAGAAAGTGCCCCTTGATCCTGGGGGATGTGTTGTTCCAAGACCTCCAGTAGATGCCTAAGATTGCACATAATACTGAACGTGGTCCGTCCTAGTATGTTCTTTCCTGTATGTACGTATCTATGATAAATTTTAATTTGTGAGTTAGACATAGTAAGAGATTAACAATAAGAACAAAATAGAACAATTATAACAATATACTATAATAAAGGTTATTTGAAACTTATGAGGTGAGGTGTGATATCTCATTCCTGTAAATCTCAATATCTTAGGAGATCAAGGCAGGAGGATAGCTTGAGGTCAGGAGTTCAAGACCAGCCTGGGCTACATACCAACACCCCCATCTCTACCAAAAACAAAAAAACAACACACACAGAATAGGTGGCATGGATTGTCTTTGCTACTCAGGAGGATAAGGCTGGAGGATCATTTGAGCTCAGAAATTTGAGGCTATAGTAAGCTATGATTGAGCCACTGCACTCTACCCCAAACAACAGAGTGAGACCTGTTTATTACAACAGCAACAACAAAAATTTAGGAATTGTTTATGCTGTAATTTTACATTTTATATATTTGGACTTCATTTAACTACGGGTAGCTTAGACT